GGGGGGAGGTGTGAGTCATGCTCCTCCTTCCAGGTGAGGCCTCTTTGGTATCAGCCAGAGACTACAGGTCTGGGGTAGGGTCCTGAGGCCACAGCTTCCATGATGGCTGGTGGTCCAGTCTTTTGGAGGGCTGAGGTTCTGTGATTCCTTTTCTAGGCCCCCATTAGTGACCTTGGCCCATCTTTTGCTAGCCACCAGGAGGCCACCTCTCCACCCCCCTGTGGACCCTGTGGTGAAGGACAGAACGGAGAGTTCTGTGACCCTTGGCTGGTATCCACCACCCCCAGGGGACCACCCTGTGACCATTGATGGCTACCTGGTGGAGAAGCGGCGACTGGGTACCTACATCTGGAGCTGGTGCCACAAGAATGAGTGGGTGGAAACACCTGAGCTCACCATCACAGGTGTGACTGAGGAGGGTGACTTCCAGTTCAGGGTGTCAACTGTCAACAGCCTTGGCCAGAGTCCATACCTGGAGTTCCCGGGGACCGTCCACCTGGGTAAGTGAAGCTGCCTAGAAAGGAGTGACCCCTAGCACCAGGGGCTGCCCTGGCCAGAGCAGAGCAAAGCCTTCAGCAAGGCCTTGAAGACACACTTTGTGAGGGTGGGGACATTGGGGCCTTCTTAGTGGGAAGGAGGGGACTCAAGACAGGACTCAGGTCCCCTGTCTCCAGTAGCCCCAGGGGATGCAGCTTCAGTGCTGCCCAGCTTCAGAGGTTTGTGGAATCCTGGGGTATTGCCAGGTGGTTCTGGCTCGTTCCCTGTCTGTTGTGACTTGTGCTTATGGCTCCCTGTCTGTTGTGACTTGAGCCTAAATACCCGTCCTTTGGAGGAAGAGGAAGGGGAGGCAGAGACCTCACCTGCCCTGGTCCCCTCCTAACTTGCCTGCACCACAGCCCCCAGCTGGCCGTGAGGATGCCCCTGAAGGCAGTGGCAGCAGTGGAGGGTGGAGAAGTCACCTTCTCTGTGGACCTTACTGTGGCCTCTGCTGGTGAATGGTTCCTGGACAGGGTGGCTCTGAAGGCCAGCCACACGTATGTGATCCGCTGTGATCGCACCCGGCATACTCTCACCATCCGAGAGGTGCCTGCCAGCCTGCACGGGTCACAGCTCAACTTTGTGGGTGATGGCATTGAAAGCAGCATTCGGATGGAGGTCCGTCTGAGGTAGGCTTGGGTCCAGGAGCCTGTTGCCTTGAGGCAGTGTCAGCATGGGGTCCTGGGAGAGCTGCCCCTGTGGAGTTAGCCTGCAGTAGCAAGAGGAAGCAGGGCAGGGGGTGGGGCGCTGAGGCAGGCAGACCAGGAAGGGTGTGTGTGGACAGCAGGTTCAGCTGGACCCTGCCTCTCTGCCTGCCTCCTTCTTCCACCCTCCTCTTCATCCACCCACCCCATCCTCTCCTCATTCTGACCTTGTTTTTCCATCCTCTCGTCTCCCTCCCTTACTCTCTTTCATTGCCCTGGTCCCTTCTGTCCACCGATCCCTGGCCCCCAGCAGCTCCTGTGCAAGCCACCAGCGGTAGCCACTCGTGAGGTGCTGGCCCGGCTGCACGAGGAGGCTCAGCTGCTGCCTGAGCTGTCGGACCAGGCTGCAGCTGTGACGTGGCTGAAAGATGGCCTTGTGTTACCTCCTGGCCCCAGGTACAAGGAACAGGCTTCAGCTGGGTGGCGGGCACTGCTGGTGCGAGACGACGTGGGGAAGGATGACGCTGGCCTCAATGAGTGTGTCAGCAGGAGCCGTGATGCCTACCAACTGTCTGTGCAAGGTGAGGGACTTGGGAAGGCAAGCCAGGGCCCACGTCCTTCCTGGCCCTTCTGTGGTGCAGGACATGCTTCCCCTGTTCCCAGGCTGCAAGGGGTTCTGTGCAGCAGGGCAGCATGGGGAGGGTGGTAGGGCAGGCCCAACTCTGTAGGAGGGATAACTGTGGGTGGCCACTTGGGTGGGCAATGAGTACCATGGTTGGGACTCAGCAATCTGGCCAGGGTGCCTCTTATCTGGGTCAGAATCAGTGTCCTGTGTGGTCTGTGAGCCTGGACCCTCCAGCCTGCAGCCTCTGTGCCAGGTGCGTGGTCAGGAGCTCTGTGGTTCCTTACCACCTCTGCTGTACTCTGCAGGCCTCACGCCCTTCCTACGCAAAAACACAGTAGGCGGCTGTGTGGATGCTGAGGTGAGGGGCCCGGCGAGGTTTGTATGTGAGACCGTGGATGCCCACGTCCCCGTGTGCTGGTTTAAAGATGGCAAGGAGCTGGGTGGCTCCTGCCAGCGCTTCTCTCAGTAGGACATGAGGACCTGGCATCGGCTAGTAGTGGCCTTGGTCAGCAGGCAGAATGAGGGCACCTACTCCTGCCATGTGTGTGAGGACTCTGTGGACTTCCACCTACGGGTCTCTGGTAAGTGCCTTATGTATACCTGTGCCCATACCTGTGGGTGGAGAGCAGATCCTGCTGTACACAGCACAATGTGACTGACC